CAGCATCTTCCTCCCCTTCCCCCTACAGTGTCTCTGCATCTCTGCTCCTAGCAGCCAGTAACAGAGCCCGGCTGGTGAAGGAGGAGAGGCAGAGGCTCTGATTGGTTGAGAGCAGAGCTGAATCCATTCAGGCTTTTTCTATCCTTTATTCCTCCGTCATCACTTTGTTTTGCTGTGCATGCTGTTTCCCTCCCTCTCTGCCTAACCCCCCCCCCCCCTGCACACACACACACAGACACACAAACACCACCACCTCCCCCTACCTTGCAGGATGCATTGGTCTACTTCTCTGCCTGCAGGATGCATCCATGTGTCCCTAACCTCCAGCTTGAAGTTCTAAATTCTCAGCTGATGAAACAACCTTGAATTCTGCTTTCCTCTGATGGATAAAAACAAATATTCCTCCATGTGCAGTCATTTCTCATCATTCCTTGGTTTGTGTTAAAGCGCCATCTAGTGATCATCTGACCACACACGTCAAAAAATTCTACTAAATCATGCCAGTTCATTTGGACTCCGGCAGAGATGACCTGATGAACTTGCTTCTCTAATCCGGTCGGTTTCCACCGAATGACGAATTTTTGTAAACTTATGGAGGGATACTAGCAGCATCTCTAAACATCTGGGAAGCACCATATCAAGAAAGGGAAGTTCTATGTTCTTCCGAAAATTTCCAAAGTGGGGTTTCTGTTCATAATCACCTTCTTTCATTTGAAATGTTTACTCTTTAGGACGTGATAGTCATAACAAAGATAAAAGTAAAAGGAGTGGTTTTCTACAGCCCTGTTAGGTTTGCTGTCATCTCGCGCAGCTTCAGGCCTTCCAGTATCCATGTTGATAAACCCAGGCTGTGGACACCTGAGTTTGTCGGGTTTTTCAGTCTCAGACGACTGTTCTGTAAACCAGCAGTAGGTTTTTGTCTCCTCTTGTCTTTTTACCAAAGTCTTTCTGTGCCTCTATCATGTGTGGATCCATGTGGCCGCTTATCTTAGCTGCTATGATGTCTGACAGTAGCTTCCATGTTTGGAGATGTTCCAGAATAATTCAATCGTGGATTCATTGTGTACAACGAATCCCTTGAACCAGCATACATTGAATGGTACCTTTAACCACAGCTAGAGGGTGCTACTGCTGCTGTTGGTGAGATGTATCGCGTTCACTTCCTCTTCTGACTGCTGAGCAGTGTTGTTGCTGTTCAGACTATCACCATCTCAATTAAGTTCTTTTTTTCTGTGATATCTCTGGATCTCCTCCTCCATTTTAGGAGAGACTAATCTATCTCTGTTACAGGGATAGGTACCAAAGACTTTTTAAGGTTGCTGTAATTAAACCTCTGCTTAAGAAACCGTCTCTTGACCCAGATGACTTGGTCAATTATAGACCAATATCCAATCTTCCTTTCTGATCTAAAATTCTTGAGAAAGTAGTTGCCAAACAAGTTTGCGATCACTTCCACCATAATGAACTTTTTGAAGAGTTTCAGTCTGGCTTTAGAGCTCATCATAGCACTGAAACAGCTCTGGTGAAAGTCACTAATGATATTCTCATGGCCTCAGATAATGGACTTGTATCTGTGCTCGTCCTGTTGGATCTCAGTGCTGCATTTGATACAGTTGATCAGAATATTCTTTTAGAAAGACTTGAATATTTAGTTGGAATTAAAGGAACAGCTCTAGACTGGTTTAAATCTGATCTATCTGATCGAATTCAGTTTGTTCATGTTAATGATAGATCTTCAACACGCTCAAAGGTTACCTGTGGAGTACCACAGGGATCAGTGCTAGGACCAATTCTCTTTACTTTATACATGCTCCCAATCGGTAGAGTTATTAGACAGCATGGGATTAATTTCCACTGTTATGCTGATGATACCCAGCTATATCTGTCTATAAATCCAGATGAAGCTAACCCATTACATAGATTACAGGCATGTCTGAAGACAGAAAAACCTGGATGACTCTTAACTTTCTGCTTCTGAATGCAGACAAAACAGAAGTTATAGTCTTTGGACCAGAGTCTCTGAAAAAGAAACTGATTAGCCAGTCACTTCATTTGGATGGGATTAAACTGATTTCAGATAATAAAGTAAAAAATCTTGGTGTTATTTTTGATCAGGACCTGTCATTTAAATCCCAGATCAAAGAGGTTTCTAGAATTTCCTTCTTTCATCTGAGGAATATTGCAAAAATGAGCAATCTCCTGTCCAGGGGTGATGCTGAGAAACTAGTCCATGCATTTGTTACTTCAAGGCTGGACTATTGTAATTCTTTACTATCAGGAAGTCCACAAACTGTAGTTAAAAACCTTCAGCTGATCCAAAATGCTGCAGCCAGAGTTCTGATGAAAATGAAAAAGAGAGATCATATCTCTCCTATCCTGGCTTCTCTTCATTGGCTTCCTGTTAAATCCAGAATAGAATTTAAAATCCTCCTTCTCACATATAAAGCCTTAAATGGCCAAGCTCCATCTGATATCAGAGATCTGATTGTTCCTTATGTTCCTAACAGAGCACTTCGCTCTCAATCTGCAGGTTTACTAGTGGTTCCTAGAATTTCTAAAAGTAGAATGGGAGGCAGATCTTTTAGTTCTCAGGCTCCTCTCCTGTGGAACCAACTACCAGTTTTAGTCCGTGAGGCAGACACCCTGTCTACTTTTAAGGCTAGGCTTAAAACTTTCCTTTTTGATAAAGCTTCTAGTTAGAGTGGCTCAGGTTATCCTGAGCTATCTCTATAGTTCTGCTGCTATAGGCTTAGACTGCTGGAGGACATTGGGACCCCTTTTTCATCATTCTGCTTCATTCTATCTCTATTCTCCCACTCTGCAGAATCTGTTAGTTCAATCTCTAACGTTCTGCTCTCTCTGCTTTTTCTCATAGTAGCTTCATCTGGTCTGTTCCTGTTTGGCTGTGACTCCATCCTGGAGAGAAATATCAGCTGTGCTGCTGCCATCAACACCTTTGTTTCTAGGTGTTGGAGCTTGGCCTGTTTTCCAGTGTAGTCCTGTTTCTCTGACTGTGACTAACTGGATGTGCTCTCTTCATCCTCTGACATGGGAGCTGGCTCGGAGCTCGTCTGCCTGGCTGTGTGTTTCCTGGACCGGGCCGCCTGTGGAGCTGGTTGACAGTTGCCTTTTGTATCTATGCTTCTTTTTCTATGTCTGCTTCTGTCTCCTTGAACCCCAGTGGGCCTCAGCAGATGGCCGCTCACACTGAGCCTGGTTCTGCTGGAGGTTTCTTCCTGTTCAAAGGGAGTTTTTCCTCTCCACTGTCGCTACAAGCATGCTTAGTGTGAGGGATTGCTGAAGAGTCAATGAGTCGATGCAATCAGCTGGTTTTCCTTAGATAGAAAACTTTGAATCAATCTGACTGGATGATCTGGTTGAACTGGAAAGTGACCTGAGATGACATGATGTGAATTGGAGCTATAGAAATACACTGAATAGAATTGAATTGAATTACATCAACAAGGCCTCCAGCTGTGAAACCTGCAGTAAAACAAGACTAAGTTTTTCAAGAACAGAATAAATCTTTGAACAAAATCTTAAAGAAACAGTGTCACTGAAGATAATTTCGTCTTTATTTATGGCATAAACAGACATTTACATCATCTTCATCAGAGATTGTTGCTCTTTTTCGTTCTGACACGGATGCTGAGATGAATTTGATTTATTATCCAGTTTCAGGAAGAGGAAAACTAGGGTTGTCTCTTTTAAGACCTTTTCTCCTGCATTTTGTTTTGGTATCCTGGTGAAAAATCATTGTGAAACTCAAGGGCGTAGGTTTGATTTGAACTTTGGTAGGGACACTATTGGTCTGGTGTCATTGGTGCTATGCAATATGCATGCCCTTTTTTATGCTCGATGTGAGCATCCGTACTGATAAGAGGAATTCATTGTTAAAAGAGAAAAGCAACATTTTGCTCCATTAATAAAAATGTTATAAGCTCTACACTCATTAGATGCTGTTTATCAATGTTTGAAGCATCACCGGCTCTGAAGAATGTGGAATTAGGACTGTTTTCCACTTTGAAAACGGTTTCATTTGAACGACTAAGAGAGAAGCTAAATACAGTATTTTCTTTTGAAGATATAGAATTATGCAGAGTTAAACCCCACTCTAATATTTGTACCTACTTTTCTCTCTCTGTATCAAGCAAAGTAATACATTCATTAAAATATTAACTTCACTATAAAAGTTGAACATCTGGGCTGTAGTTACTCTGTGTACAATTTCATGTATTTCATCTGGGGCTGAAAAAATGAATTATATTAATTGATTATTTCAATAATCGTCAACTAATTGAGTACGTGATTCATCATTAACTGGAGTATAGAGACTTTAAAACATACAGTAATATAAATGTAAAATGTGCCTTTCCCCACAGAGCAACCCACTTAGATCAGTTATTATATCAAAATTGTAAAAATAAAAACAAAAAAATGAAAACAGTAATATCAACTAAATATCGGTAAAAAGGAAACCCTCACATTTTCTTTTTTAGGTGGCTGTGGCTAAGAATCAGAAATGTTGATGGCTTACAGCCTTTATTTGCCCATTTTTCCAACAGTCTTCAGAACTCCTGGCTGACTCAGAATATTTCGTTTTATAAAAGAAAAAAAAAGGTTTTTGTTTTTTAGTGTGCATGATATTCATTTTTTTTATTGGGACTGTTTTGTAGCCTAATATTAACTGTAGTAACCGCTGCATTCTAGTGTGAATAAATTTTCAATGTTGTGCTCCAAGCACACGCGGACTAGAAAACAGCCAATCAGAGAGAGAGAAGGCGGAACTTAAGGCAGAACAACCAATGAGAGTGGAGTTAAACAGCGCAGCACAGTTCCATGCGCTGCTACATGAAAGGGACAGGAGAGACCAGGCAGAGGAGCTGCGAGAGGAAAAGAAGCCACTGCTGCAACAACTACTGCTGTAAATTATAAACATGTTGCTCACATTCAATTATTGGTAGGGACAATTAGGTCGGTTCAAAATTTTGGTAGGGACATGTCCCTATGGTCCCTATGCAAACCTACGCCCATGGTGAAACTTTATGTTATGTTAAAAAGTTATTTGTGAGTTTAGCTGGTTTCCCTGCAGAAAAACATTCAAATCAGCAAAAACAACATTCCCAGCATGTAAAGAGAAAGAAAGGAGTTCCAGGTCACAATGGGCCACAAACCCAGAAGGACAAACTAGACTGAAGCTATTCTTGGTCTCATTATTTTGGGATATTCTATTTTTGACTCTGTTGGTGTTAAAGATGGTGCTTGATGAAATGACATGTTTGCGCAGCTGCACAGATTGATTGGGAGAAGAAGGAAAACATTTCAGCAAACTCCAGCTTCTGAAGCTGATTCTTGGACTGATATTCCATCCCAGCTCTCTATAAACCTCTACGCATAGTTTCTATTCGATGCTTTTTTCCAGGAATGTCATCGGTTTTCTTGGCAGGTCTGTGAGCATCAGCTGGTGGAGCTCCATCTCCATCCAGCAGGAACATTTATGTCATAGGATCAGCCTCATCATACCAACTAAATCATGGATTTAGTATCTGCAGAGTGATCTGACGCTCACAGATCCTCAGACCAGGAACCATTCAGGGAGATTCAGATCCATGTAAAACCAAGGAGACCCAAAACTTCACGGTGTTCAATCAAAGTCTGCAGAGCAGTGGGGTCTAATTTAATCCTGGGGCGAGAATCAGGCTACAGCAGAACCTGATGTTATGAGGAGGAGGGAACTTGACTCTTACTCAAGCTGTTAGAGGAGAGAAACCATTAAATATGCAAAGGAGCTCGATGTTCTCACCTCAAAGCCAGAAACAGAACATTTGTTCTGAGAAGACAATCAGGCTTGGAGTTCAAGACAACATCATTTCATACCAAGGTTTCTGCTGAAGGAAAGAACCTTCAAATCCAACTGGGCCTTGTCCCCTAGTTCCCCAGAACCTTGTCATGAGTTCTACACAGAATGTGTCTTTCGCCCCAGCAGCCGAACCGTCCCTTCAACGTCATAAAGCCATCAGCCATTCTCATGTAAACCGAACCGGTTTGGACCGGATTCAGGTATTAAGCTTTGGGTTCTAATAGTTTCTTTGGCTCTGGGAGATTTTCTCCACTCCTGGAGACGTTATGGATCCCATTAACAATCAAACAGGTTTTAGTGACTTTGTTTGACCCAGAGTTCAGTCCAGACTTTCTACAGATGGAGTTTGGTTTCTGCAAGGGTGTGAATTATTACCAGATGAGTTTTACTGAAGTAACTGTAAACGTTGGTCTTGTTCTCTTACAGAAAAAATCGGCCAGTAAGGCAGGCCAACAGGACCGCTGGGTTGGACACAGAACCCACAGATACTCTGCCCTTAGGCACCGACTTCCTCCACATTTCCTGGTTCCAGATGATTCTCTTCCTTCTCTGCTCCTCCTCTTCCTCCTTGGTCCCATCCTCCCCAGGTTTTCCAGATGAGGACAATGTGTGAACATCAGTAGAAAAGTATTCCTGTTCAGTAGTAGTTCCTGGAAGAGGACTCTTGGTGCAACATGTCACATCAGTGGTCAAGATACTGGGAACTGTGGGAGAATTGGTTGAAGTATCAAAGAAGGCTACATCTGCAGATGAATGAGTGCCCTCTGGTGCAGGATCGGAAGGACTACTAGTTATATCCCCATCATCCACCATGTCTGGAACTGGAAAACAGAAAACATCACACACATTAAGGGCCTAGAAATGGTCAAACTCTGATTACAGTTCATTTATTTGCGCTGAACAAAGGTACAATCAAAGCAAAAACCTAAATTCTTTCTTATCCGTAAGACTTATTTCGTTTTGAAGGATGTTAAAAAGAGAATTTAGTAAGATTAATACAAGACGAGTTAAAGAGCAGATAGGACGCGTTTACCGAGTAACCTTTATCTAAATGAGGATGATGGAAAACACACAAGAACAAAACCCACACAGGGAAAAAATGGAGAAGAAAAAAAGTTAATCTCTTGAAATGAAGACTCAGACCAAGGGAAGAAATTTGTCTTCAACAGCAGGTAAAGCAAACAAAATCAGTAGCACAGGAACAATGCATGAGGTCTGGGGACTGTTCCACTAAAACCATGCTGACTAAACATGTCACAAGAAAGTTTGAACTACAGCAGACCAGAGGGCAGTCCTAAACAGCACCTGAACCGACTCCAGTCCTCCAGAGTTCTCTGCTGCTACACACCTGATGAAAAGATCAGCTCATGAGGAGATGGTTCTCTGGTCACATAATCCTTGTCCTCAGGGTCATTTAGCTCTGGTCCTCAGAGTCACTTAGCTCTGGTCCTCAGGATCACTTAGCCCTGGTCCACGGGGTCATTTAACCCTGGTTCTCAAGGTCATTTAACCCTCGTCCTCAGGGTCACTTACCTCTGGTCCTCAGGGTCACTTTACCCTCATCGTCAAGGTCACTTAACCCTCGTCCTCAGGGTCACTTAGCTCTGGTCCTCAGGGTCACTTTACCCTCATCGTCAAGGTCATTTAGCCCTGGTCCTCAGGGTCATTTAACCCTGGTTCTCAAGGTCATTTAGCCCTGGTCCTCAGGGTCATTTAACCCTGGTTCTCAGGGTCCCTTAGCCCTGGTCCTCAGGGTCATTTAACCCTGGTCCTCAGGGTCCCTTAGCCCTGGTCCTCAGGGTCACTTAGCCCCGTTTCTCAGGGTCACTTAACCCTCGTCCTCAGAGTCACTTAGCTCTGGTCCTCAGGGTCACTTTACCCTCATCGTCAAGGTCACTTAACCCTCGTCCTCAGAGTCACTTAGCTCTGGTCCTCCGGGTCACTTAACCCTGGTCCTCAGGGTCACTTTGCTCTGGTCCTCAGAGTCACTTAGCTCTGGTCCTCAGGGTCACTTAGCTCTGGTCCTCAGGGTCACTTAGCTCTGGTCCTCAGAGTCACTTAGCTCTGGTCCTCAGGATCACTTAGCCCTGGTCCTCGGGGTCATTTAACCCTGGTTCTCAAGGTCATTTAGCCCTGGTCCTCAGAGTCACTTAGCTCTGGTCCTCAGGGTCACTTAACCCTGGTCCTCAGGGTCACTTAGCTCTGGTCCTCAGGGTCACTTAGCTCTGGTCCTCAGGGTCACTTTACCCTCATCGTCAAGGTCACTTAGCCCTGGTCCTCAGAGTCACTTAGCTCTGGTCCTCAGGGTCACTTAACCCTGGTCCTCAGGATCACTTAGCCCTGGTCCTCGGGGTCATTTAACCCTGGTTCTCAAGGTCATTTAACACTGGTCCTCAGGGTCACTTAGCTCTGGTCCTCAGGGTCACTTTACCCTCATCGTCAAGGTCACTTAACCCTCGTCCTCAGGGTCACTTAGCTCTGGTCCTCAGGGTCGCTTTACCCTCATCGTCAAGGTCATTTAGCCCTGGTCCTCGGGGTCATTTAACCCTGGTTCTCAAGGTCATTTAGCCCTGGTCCTCAGGGTCATTTAACCCTGGTTCTCAAGGTCATTTAGCCCTGGTCCTCAGGGTCATTTAACCCTGGTTCTCAGGGTCGCTTAGCCCTGGTGCTCAGGGTCACTTAGCCCCGTTTCTCAGGGTCACTTAACCCTCGTCCTCAGGGTCACTTAGCTCTGGTCCTCAGGGTCACTTTACCCTCATCGTCAAGGTCACTTAGCCCTGGTCCTCAGAGTCACTTAGCCCTGGTCCTCAGGGTCACTTTGCTCTGGTCCTCAGAGTCACTTAGCTCTGGTCCTCCGGGTCACTTAACCCTGGTCCTCAGGGTCACTTAGCTCTGGTCCTCAGAGTCACTTAGCTCTGGTCCTCAGGATCACTTAGCCCTGGTCCTCGGGGTCATTTAACCCTGGTTCTCAAGGTCATTTAGCCCTGGTCCTCAGAGTCACTTAGCTCTGGTCCTCAGGGTCACTTAACCCTGGTCCTCAGAGTCACTTAGCTCTGGTCCTCAGGGTCACTTAACCCTGGTCCTCAGGGTCACTTAGCTCTGGTCCTCAGGATCACTTAGCCCTGGTCCTCGGGGTCATTTAACCCTGGTTCTCAAGGTCATTTAGCCCTGGTCCTCAGAGTCACTTAGCTCTGGTCCTCAGGATCACTTAGCCCTGGTCCTCGGGGTCATTTAACCCTGGTTCTCAAGGTCATTTAGCTCTGGTCCTCAGAGTCACTTAGCTCTGGTCCTCAGGATCACTTAGCCCTGGTCCTCGGGGTCATTTAACCCTGGTTCTCAAGGTCATTTAACCCTGGTCCTCAGGGTCACTTAGCTCTGGTCCTCAGGGTCACTTAGCTCTGGTCCTCAGGGTCACTTAACCCTGGTCCTCAGGGTCACTTAGCTCTGGTTCTCAGGGTCACTTAGCCCTGTTTCTCAGGGTCACTTAGCTCTGGTCCTCAGGGTACCTTAACTCTGGTCCTCAGGGTCACTTAGCTCTGGTCCTCAGGGTACCTTAACTCTGGTCCTCAGGGTATCTTAACCCTGTCCCACGGGTCTGCAGCTCTTCATGCTTCAGATGTGTCTCTACCCAAACACACCTAATTCAATTGATCCCATGACCTCCTCTACAGCCATCAGATATGGCTAAAGCCTGTTGGTTACTTGTTCTCTGAGGTCAGGTTTGTGGAGGCAGGAAGCACCTAAAACATGGAGGACAGGGGGCCCTAGGGACCAGGGTTTAGGAACCCTGATTTAACCTGTTTCTAATTGTCGATCAGACAGGTAAGGTGAGCAGAAGTAGAGATGGAGCAATGAAGCCTGGCTTTGGAATAAACCGCAACCAATTGACCAGAGTTTAGGTTCATTAAGCCAAACAACTTCCAGTTTAAATCCTTCAGTCTGTGGTTTCACTGATTTTACTCATCTTCTATGTTTGAAAGGATCTGTTTAGGATGGATTGACTGAGACAGGCAAGTCAGGATGAACAGATCAAGAGTGTGTTTCATACCACAGAGGTTGTTTTCACATTTCTGGAGGTTATGTGGACAACTGGAGCAGGGATCCCCTTCCACATACGGCCGCTGGTCTTCATAGTTCCCTCTGAACACAGAAACACAAATAGCTCATGGAACAAGTTGAGAACATCCTGACTAGACAACATCCAGAACAGAGTATTACTGCTGTCCACTAGGGGGAGTACTTTTAACCCAACCAGTGGCACAGAGTCTGTCAGTGTTTTCACAGGTTTTGTTCCAACATGTATCTTCAGAGGAATCCTCTGCAGATTCATAATTGTTAAGAAATTGGGGTCACTAGATAAAATTAATAATTTGGGTTGAATTAAAATAAAAGCAAGTAGGTTGAAATAAATTCCTTTAAATGCTCACATATTTTCAGTTTAATGTATTTGAACGTATGCTGATGAAGGTTCTCAGTCATCCAGGTCATAGTCATTCCGTAGAAATTCAAAAAATATCCACTGGACTTGGTTTTCAAGATTTGAAGACGTTTCGCCACCTCTCCAGGAAGCTTTTCTCAATTCAAATGTCTGGATCCGCAGTGAGTTTGAGTCTTATATGGACAAGGCCTTGTATTGCTTGGAAACATGCGATGGTAACCGATGAATGGGTCGTTTAGTTCCATCGTTAGCCTGTAATATCTGAACCTGTCTATGATTCTAGGGGTCGGTCGTTAAAGGGGGGGATTGCCATTAAGGGGGGGATTGTCTCCTGTAATACCTGAAAACCTGTCTATGATTGTTAAGGGTCGGTCGTTAAGGAGGTTTTGTTCACCGGCTGGAGCGGGTAGGTCCCTCGTTCCTCTATGATGGGGTGGGGGGTTTGGTGATATCTGGAAGGGATCATGTCTATGATTGAATTGTATGTTTTTGGAAGCTGGAATCTGAGTCCACCACCTCTGTTTAAAGTTGGTTTTTCTCTCTTAACATAGATGGCTTCCTTCACGCCCCTCTCAAACCACCTATTTTCTTTATCCAGAATATGGACATTCTGGTCCTCAAAAGAATGTCCTTTGTCCACAAGGTGTAGGTGTACTGCAGAGTCTTGTCCAGAGGCGGCCGCTCTTCTGTGTTGGGCCATGCGTCTGTGGAGCGGTTGTTTGGTTTCTCCAATATAAAGATCAGAGCATTCCTCGCTGCACTGAACAGCATATACCACTCTGCTCATATTCGGTCTGGGGGTTTTATCTTTAGGAGGCACTAGCCTCTGTTTAAGGGTTTGGTTTGGATTGAAATGTACTGGGATCTTGTGTTTGGAGAAAATCCTCTTGAGCTTTTCAGACACTCCAGCAACATAAGGGATTGTGATGTTTTTGCGTTTAATTTTCCCATCGCTGTCTTCTGTTGCGTGTCTTTTGGATTTCCTTGCTGATTTGATAAAAGCCCAGTTTGGATATCCACAGTTTCGGAGAGCATCTTTGATGTGTTTCTGTTCTTTTTGCTTCCCATCTGTTTTAGTAGGGACATGTTCTGCCCAGTGTTGTATGGTTCTGATGACTGAGATTTTGTGTTCCAGTGGGTGGTGTGAGTCAATAAGAAGATACTGGTCTGTGTGAGTAGGTTTCCTATACACTTCAATGTTTAGGCTTCCATCTCCTCCCATGCTCACCAGGCAGTCCAGAAAAGGTAGTTTGTTGTCCTTGGCATCCTCTCTGGTGAATTGGATGTTACGGTCAACAGAGTTGATGTGTTTGGTGAAAGCTTCCACTTCCTCTAGCTGGATTTTGACGAAAGTGTCATCCACGTATCTAAACCAGTGGCTTGGTGGTATTCCATTGAAAGTGTCTAAAGCTCTCTTTTCCATTTCTTCCATGTAAAGGTTGGCTACAATTGGTGATACTGGAGATCCCATTGCGCAGCCATGCTTCTGTCTGTAAAAATTTCCTCTGAATTTGAAATAGGTTGTGGAAAGACAAAGGCCCAGTAGTGTGCAGATCTGGTCCGGAGTGAAATTAGTCCTGTTTTGAAATCACTCTTGTTGAAGACGTGTCCTGACTGTTTCCACTGCCTCTGTTATAGGTATGCATGTGAAAAGTGAAGTAACATCAAACGATACCAGGGTTTCTCCTGGTGTCATCCTTAAATGTTTGGCTTTGTTGGCAACGTCTTTGGAGTTTTCTATGTGATGTGGTGTGTTCCCCACCAATGGAGCTAAGATATTAGTAAGCTGTTTAGCAATGTTGTATGTTACTGAGTTAATGCTGCTGACAATGGGCCTGAGTGAAGCCCCTTCTTTGTGAATTTTTGGAAGTCCATATAAGCATGGAATTTCCTCCCCTGGATATAATCTGAAATAGGCTGTGCTGTTAATTACCTTGTCTTTTTCAAGTTGTTTGAGATAGTCTATTATTTTCTTTTTGTAGCCGCTGGTTGGATCTATTTTCAAGGATTCATATGTATTAGTGTCCTTCAGTAGAGTGATAATTTTGTCTTGGTAGTCTGAGGTGTTGAGGATTACGGTGCATCTTCCTTTGTCTGCTGGTAATATGGTGATGCTTTGGTCCTGGCTCAGGGATGTTATGGCTTTCATTTCCTGGGGTGTGAGGTTGGAAGGAGGTGGTTTGGCGCTGGACAGGGTGGCTGTTACCTTCATTCTGAGTTGCTCTGCCTCCGTTTCAGCCAGGTTGTTGTTCCTGATGGCCAATTCAGTGGCCGTGATCAGTTCCACAACGGGTACTTCTGGAGCAATGGCAAAATTCAGGCCTTTACTCAGTACATCCATCTCTGATTTTGTCAGTGGTCTGCTAGATAGGTTTTTGACCCACTTGTCTTCAACCTTGATGTTGATGTTATCCTCCTGAGTCATGTTGCTATCTTGTTTAAAAGCTGCTTTCTGTTGTAATCTTTTGAATTTGGCTTTTTGTCTTTCTTTTGTTTTATGATGTTGTGAAAGCTTGACTTTATTGACCAACCTGGCAACTTCTTCAAACAAGGTTTCGGGGAGAAGTTTGGATTGCTTCTGCCTTGTATGATCTATTTTGTGCGAGATAGCTTCAATTATTTGAACCATAATGTGCATGTGTGAGTGTTGCAGTATCAATTCAATCCAATAGGGTTTTTGAATAGATGTCACCACGTATTTACATCTAGATGCTCCGTTTAAAGCTGAGCCACCTACAGTCACTGCAGCTGCATGGCTGCCAACGCTCAGTCCTGCTGTCATAATGCTGCAGTTCTTTCAAATCACGTGCTTACAGCCGGTTCTTTTTTCTTCTTTATTGTTAAAGAACCACATTTTAAGTCGTCCACAACTTTCCTCTTTGTTCGAGCATTTTTTACAACTGCAGCATTTTACTTTTTTTTATATGTTCAAGTTGTTCCTTTGAACTAATGTTTCCACTCGGTCTCCAGTGTTTGGCACAGCTGCTGGTTTCCTTGTCCTTTGTTTACATGTGATGTCCCTAGTTAGCATCTGTCAAGAGGAGAGGATTTGTTCAATGTTCATTTTTATTGATACTGCATTTATATGAAATATATGATGAATAAAGTAAGCAGATTAATATTTCAGTTGTTTATTATTTATTAACCTCTTAAAACCCACAGAGTCGCCGGCGACCTGGTCGACCTTAAGTGGGGTAATAATTTAAAATGCATAACATTCTACCAGTAAAATTTCTACCAGCAGGTGGAGCCATTGCGTGCAGCTCCAAGCTGACACCAAAAGTTCCAAACCCCACATCTGGAACTGTTGTAGCTAGAGGTCTGCAATTTTCTGCATTTGTGGTTGACATGATGTAGAAGAAATTTAGTACAATGAAACTTTTTTTCTCAAGAATGTCTTTATTACTGCTGTTCAAAAAAGACCTATCATTTCAGAGAATAAAAAAACCAAACTTTGATCCATGTTTGAACTGATGCAGCTTGGTCTGTGTTCTACTCACCCAATTTTAATTTATATATTAAGAAATTATGTATTGTACATGTAATTTGGGTTTACAGTTCCTAAGTTATTTGCTTTTACATTTGGGTATGCAAAATAGGCGAGGATTACCCAAAATGAGGTGGATGTTAAGAAGTTAATGTTGGCAAAAGATTCAATGTTTTGTTAAACTTTAGAGGATTGACTTTATGCTGGTGAAGATTCTCAGTCATCCAGTTAAATTCTATTCAGTTTATTTCTATCTTCTGAGGCCGACTGGGGTTCAAGGAGACAGAAGCAGACATAGAAAAAGAAGCATAGATACAAAAGGCAACTGTCAACCAGCTCCACAGGCGGCCCCGTCCAGGAAACACACAGCCAGGCAGACGAGCTCCGAGCCAGCTCCCATGTCAGAGGATGAAGAGAGCACATCCAGTTAGTCACAGTCAGAGAAACAGGACTACACTGGAAAACAGGCCAAGCTCCAACATCTACAAACAAAGGTGTTGATGGCAGCAGCACAGCTGATATTTCTCTCCAGGATGGAGTCACAGCCAAACAGGAACAGACCAGATGAAGCTACTATGAGAAAAAGCAGAGAGAGCAGAACGTTAGAGATTGAACTAACAGATTCTGCAGAGTGGGAGAATAGAGATAGAATGAAGCAGAATGATGAAAAAGGGGTCCCTATGTCCTCCAGCAGTCTAAGCCTATAGCAGCAGAACTATAGAGATAGCTCGGGATGACCTGAGCCACTCTAACTAGAAGCTTTATCAAAAAGGAAAGTTTTAAGCCTAGCCTTAAAAGTAGACAGGGTGTCTGCCTCACGGACTAATACTGGTAGTTGGTTCCACAGGAGAGGAGCCTGATAACTAAAAGATCTGCCTCCCATTCTACTTTTAGATATTCTAGGAACCACTAGTAAACCTGGGGTCAAGTCCCAGGCTATTCAGCTTGTCTCTGAGCAGGGAGGGCTGGTTGGGCTGGAGAAGTCCAGGAAGAGAATCCTTGCTGCTTTTCTTCTCCAGGTGGGAGTGGACTCAGTGTAGTAGGTAGAGGATGGCGTCCTCCACTCCTACACCTGGCTGATGGTGCAGACTGCAGGTGGTCCAGGGCGTGTTATACTTGAGGTCTGAAGAGGTTGAGGAAGATCTGCTACATAATCTTCATCAGATGTGAAGTGAGTGCCACAGGATGGAAATCATTCAGCTCACTGGGCCGATA